TGAGAAAGAGTGGAAATAGTCGAAAATTCGTCTTCTCATGCTGACAGGTACTAAAGGTCTGGGATGAGAAGTGCTGACGTCGCTCGATCGATAAAGACGAATTTTTCAATGAGTCAAACAGAGTAGTGTCCCTTTTTTGCTCGTCTGCTAAAAAATCAAGATCAAGTTTCTCCTTAGTTGTGCTAAGTAAGAACGCTCTTGATAGTGTGTTGGCGACGGTGTTGTTGGTGCCTCTGACGTGGCGTATATCGGTAGTAAACTGCGAAATAAAGTCTAACTGCCAGTAATCACGCGGGTTATACCTGTCTGATTTGGTATGAAGGGCATAGACTAGAGGTTTATGACCAGTGAATACAGTGAAATTTCGACCTTCCAATATATGTCGGAAATATTTAATTGAGAGGTAAATAGCAAGTAACTCACGCGAAAAGGTGCTATACTTTTTGGGGGGTTGAAGTGAGTTTAACTGAGAAAAAGGAAATTGGTGTGGTTTCTTTTCCCGTGTGCTGGTGTAGAACAGCTCCAATTGCCTCTGATGAGACATCAGTAGTGAGCTGTATTTTCGTCACGTAGATAACTTAGTTTGGTAAAGTTTACTAGTGCATTCCTGGAATTAATGAAGGCAGCCAGAGCTTCGTCCGATAGTGTTATCTTCGCGTTTCTCTTCCCCTGGCCACGAAGTAAGTTGGTAAGAGGTGCCAGAATGTGGGAACAGTTCAGAATGAACTGGCAATAGTAATTTATTAAGCCGAGATAACGTCGAAGTTGCCGCAGTGTCGTAGGTTGACGAAACTCACGTATAGCAGTAACCTTCTCTGGGATAGGTGTGATGCCAGAAACGTCAATTTCATATCCGAGGAAATTCAGTCTAGGAACAGCAAACACACATTTGTCCGGGTTGATGTTTAAACTGAAATGTTCCAAACGTTGGAAAACTTGTGTGACGTGACGCACTTGGTCATCCATGTTAGCGCTTGCTACAAGGAGGTCGTCAATGTAAGCGAACGAGTGCGATAAGCCACGGAGTGCTTCGTCGATTAGACGTTGGAATGACTGTGAAGCGTTTCCAAGGCCAAAAGGCATTCGAAGAAATCCGTATAGATCGAAAGGGGTTGTGATGGCTGTTTTGTATATGTCTTCAGCGGCCATCGAAATTTTGTAGCGACAGTGTTACCAATATTTAACTTTGGCTAGAAAAGGTGTGATTAAGGACAATACGTGGACGCAATGCAATTTATATTTGACGTAAATAACATAGTATAAAATACAAAACTGAACGGAATGATTTCAAAACATAACAATTGAATTTATTAATATTTGATATTCATACATGCGAACTGAAAAGGTAGGACAGAGTCGTGTCCCTTTGATTAGATAATAGTTGTACCTGAGTTCATATTAAAAGGAAGTAATATTAAACTGTAATTTAGAAGAATAAAGTTTCTTAGCATGTTTGGAATTGTGTATTGTACAAGTTGGTAAAAGTTCAAAAGAGATTTCAGAGTTCGTACTTGCGTGAATGTTGGTAATGGTCTTTAACGTCTAATCGCAATGGTTAAGACGGGAGTTCTTGAAGATTACATCTTGGTACTTGGTAGCAAGGAATGAGTCGCGCGCGAGAGAGATGAATGAAAAGAAACTATTCAGGGAGCTTACACGTGTTCTGTTTATATAATGGTCGTGTACCACGTGGGAGGCTCCAAGCATATTGAGCGGGAAAACAGATTGGTCGCGTGCAGGCGGTTTGATTGGTCGGAACTGACCAATCAGCAAGCTAGATTGAAGGTGATTGACCAATGAATACTTGTTATATATTTGTAAGATTGTGATGGTGAAAATTATAACAGGAATAGTGCATTTCCTAGCAGGGGTTAACTAGCTTGTTGTGGAAGAGTCCACAATACCCTCTCTCAGAATAAAAGTTACAGGAACGAAAAACTTTTAGTTTGAAAAAATACTGTCCTTGTTGCTGAAAAGAACATGTGTTTAAGTGTGGTTGAGCTGTGTGATTCGACGAAATGTAGTGTTGTCTTCAAGTTGTCGCATATTTCTCTTGTGTCTCAGAGTCGAGGTGAGATGGCTGGAAAAAAAACGTCGGTAGTGATCTGCGTTGCTATTAAAATTTGTCTTTTTTTCCAATGCTCCACGTTGAGTTGCCTTTGTCGATCTGTCCACCTGTTTTCTGACCCGGCCGTAGTTGAAAAACGAGGTGGTTGGTGTGGTATGCGAGGATATAATTGGCGCACAAAAGTTAATAGAAGCAGCGTAGTCGTGAAGTTGAGCTGAATTTCTACCGAGTGTCGAGTGCATGTTTGAGAGAATTTGTTATTATTGACGATGTGGAGTGGAGATATGAAAGGGCTTGAAGGGCGAATTATGCCCAGGTCCAACATGTGCTGAAATTCAGCACGTGCTAGATTGTATTTTTCTGGTCCGAGTCTACGCGGTTTCGAAAAAACTGGCGGGCCAGATGTATGAATCTTATGAACGGTTTGATGTTTGACCGTTTCAGTATACGTAAAGGGTTGGACAAGTGAGGGGAACATATCCAGTACGTCTTGGAGTGGATTATTTTCTGGTAGAGCGACACATAATTTGGTTGAAGTGAAGGTGGAGGTTATTCCTGTATTAGTAAGTTTAGTCGTCTGGTCTATAAGTGAGTGGTTCGACATATCCACGGCTAGCTTGTAATGTGCTAGGAAATCTGCGCCTAGTATGGGAAATTTGACTTCTGTCACAATAAAAAAAACATTGGCATGTTCTCTTTAATCCAATGTTTAGAGTCATAGACACTTGACAAAAAAGGTTTGTATTTGGGAATCATTCGTTGCGCGTAAAGTGTATGACGATCTTTCGGTAGGAAAACCTGGTCTAGTTGGAATTACGCTGAGTTGGGCGCCTGTGTCGACCAGAAATAATTCGACAGAATTTCTGTCTCGGACGTAAAAAAGACGGTTGGCTTTCTCTCCCCCAACAGCAGACGCTGTCTTCATGTGCTGTTGGGACTGGCGTTTCCCGCCTTCTGGTTAGGTGTAGATACTAACTGGGGTTTAAAATTGCATGGCTTGGTACAATGCCCAGCTGTCTGACCGAATTTACGGTGATACCAACAAATTGTAGTCGTCCTCCCATGTGAATTAGATCTGAAACGTCAGCATGACTTGTAGAAGTTGTGAGCTGGTGTTGAACGTTCTCTATTCATACGATCCAACTGCATCGATAACTTGTTGAGTTGTTGGAGTTTGTTAATCAAATCATCGACGGGGGTGTCGTGTGGCACAGAGACGCTCATACTATTAAGGGTCTTAGCTTCATTTATTTTATCGGCTATTTCAGCCGTTTTCATGAGGTCTAAGCCCTCTGGAAGAGTTGCTAGGATTTGGGCGGTGAGGGTGGGCAATTTGTCGATCCACAGCTTGCGGAGCAATGAATCCGACATTGTATTCTTTCCTAGCAGGCTTTTCATCTTACGTAGTAACTGTGTGGGCTTGCTGTCTCCCAACTGAAGAGTATTGACCAGGTCGTTGAATCGGCGTTCTTCAGACATTCTGTCTCCTTTAACGTGTCGAAGGGCTTGTTTGTCGGAAAGTTGTCCAGCAAGTCTGATACGTCAGATGCTATCTCAAGCGGCAGCTTCTCAACTACGTAGGCAAAGCGTGCCGTTTGGGATTGTATTCTTTTCGCCTGAAAAATGGCGTTTAATTGTGAAAACCAGACATGCACGTTTGTTGTATTGAAGACTGTCGCTTCGTTTCCATCCTGGTCGGCCATTTTGGGTAGCTTTTTGAAACGCACGTGGTAGAGAAAAAATTTCTTCGAGCCAAGTTGAAATTCTGTATATTATTTTTTTTTAATGTTGTTGGCACAAAATTGGGTTTTCCTTCGCCTTTTTTTTAATCACGTCGACGGTCACCAATTGTGATGCGTGTTCTTAGCGCATATATCTAAATAAAAAAATAAACATTTGCCAGAATTTTTTTTCTCAAAAAGACTTGCAATCATGCAAGATGCTTTTGAGTATGAAGCATCCAGTAGCTTTTCTACTTTGTGCTTCATACTCAAAAGCATCTTGCATGATTGCAAATCTGAAGATGCTCTGTTGTCCATTGAAATCAATTTCAGTTAAAAACATCGGTGCTGTGTAGAAAAATGTATCACAGAAAGCAAGGCATAAAGATATGTATGAACTAGATGAAATTAGCATCTCTGAGGTAACTAAGTTGTTATTGTTAGAAATACACGTATGATGGTAAGTGAGATCAAGCTTGTGATGCGTGTTCTTAGCGCATATATCTATTGTACATTTAATGATTCAAGAAAAAACAACGAAACTCCACTTGTGGATCAACAAATAAATATATATTGAAATATAATATACAAAACAATCATGCAATGAAGTGTAATGATTAAGGAAAAAGTTGTTCCCCTTCAACTGTATTCTGATTTATGATTGAATGTTCGAAAGAGTTTCTCTTGAATAAGAATGTTCAGGATTCTATGTTGAATAGAGTTTGCTGTTAGAATAGAATACAGTTAATTAAGAAATGTGTTGTTTAGAGAAATTAATAGAGTGCTGGTTCATGAACTTGTTTGAGTCACAGAGAGAGATATGTATAACGTGTTACAAAAATCTGTGTCTGTGCGTGCGTTTGAAATATTGTGAGTAAAGTCGTAGATTTCTGTGGACAGGCGAAATAGCTGGACTCTACTGGTGGCTTGTGGCAAAATTGCTTCTTTTAAAGGTACCGGTAGGCTCAAAGCAAAAATGCGGGAAAACTTGATTTAGTATTAAAATGTTTGATTGGTTAAAATTTGACCAATTACTGATTTTGTATTAAAGAAACATATGAGCAAGTTCACGACCGAAAAATTCAAAATGATGACTGCGATTGCTAAATTGTCTTATAAAAAAGCAGTATTGATTTACTTGCCAATCACAGACGAATAAATTGTGGCCGTGGAAAAGCATAGCAGTCGCTACAGGCTTATGGACACATTACGTTAAAATACCAGTTCCCATATGATCACCAAATTTAAGCAATGTTGAGCTTGGTAAGTATCTAGATGGGTGACTACTTTGGAATATTAGGTGCTGTAAACTTGGATGTGTGAGTGGTGTAATGGATAATGGCTTGTAATTGTTATTCAGGGAGCCGAATTCCAATTAGGTTTGTTATATTCACTTACATGCAAATATCTTTTCTCCCCACCAACTATAAGTTAATTAGTATGACTTTTTATCAGTACAGTATATTTTAACCATTAATACACATTGTCATTAGTTCATTTTCAGCAGAGAGACCACTTTATATATACTTGATTTTATTATTGTTATTTTCCAGTGAATAGCTTGTAGTTGAATATCTTTGTTCTCTGAGAGAACTTTATACCACTAAGACATGCAAAATCATTATTATTTAAAAAAAAAAAAAATTATAATCTAAAAATATTTTCTGGCTTTAAATAACCTGGAAAGATTGATAAGCTATAGAAAACAAATTAATCAAAAGAGATCAAATGAAACAACAAGTACTGCCGGTAAGGTGAAAGGAAAAGAAAAAAAATTGTTAATATCAAATTCTTTGTATTGCCAATCCAGAGGACGTGAGTGGAATATTTCTTTGTGGCAAGTGAAGCAACTTGGAAGAATGGTAGTGTTGGTGGCTGGAGTTGATGTGTTTGTCAGGGTTGGTTGACCAAGATCACAGTTGGTGATGCTGAGAGCTTGCTAGACACTGACATGGCCTGTTTGCTTCTTAAAAGCAAATGTGGTGGCTTCTAAACTCATCTTTTTACATGTTTTTTCTTTAGTGGTAATGTTTGTGATTGGCTTTATTTGTGTTGTATTTTATATTTTTTGAAGGGATTTTTTTTGTGAGTGAGATTTGATTCTCGGAGCCTGTGTGTGATTTTTATTTTTGAGTTTGCTTTATTATTCTCATCCAGCCTTCATGTAGAGTGAATCAGAAAGGGACCTAGTTTGAAATGGAGTATCACATTACTTAAAATTTGGGTTCTAAAGGTTGTTCATTTGATATTTGTTCAAGTTGTCCATTGAAATCAATTTCACTTAAAAACATCAATGCTGTGTAGAAAAGTCTTCTTGGAAATCAACATCTGTCAGTAAGCAACTGTTTGAAAATGGTTATTGCTATATAAGTTTAATTAAACATTTGGGAATATATTGTTTTGTAACAAAGTTTATATTGCATATTGTGTCTGTTTAAAATGAAGTTTGCTATTTTCACAAATTTCTATGACTTTCTGAACCATCATTACTGGTAATAAACATGAGATTAGAAATATGACATTATTTCTTATTACTATAAGCATTATTTTTAGTGAATATACATGCTTGAGTTGAAATTCTTGTCAATGAAAATAATGACAACTAGCTTAGAGGTCAAGGAGTCTTAACTAAAAAAAAATGTGCCTCTTGACAAACACTGAGCAGGTATTCTGTTTTCCCATCAGGGAAACCACTTCTTCAGTTGAAGTGTGCCCTGCCACAGGAAACCATCATGATAAAAGCAAGGCATTGAATATAAGGCACAAATTCTTACTGTGGATGGTTGAAAGAAAGTATAAAAGAAAATATAAATATTGTTTCTGCTCCAGCTGACATTTTTGCTATCTTATTTGAAGAAACATTTGAAGATTTGGTATTTTCAGTCAGTTGGTGACATTAAAAGAAGAGTGAACTTAGTATTTATTTTGGATAAGTTTTTTACAGCTTTTTTAATGAGGGAGAGAGAAAACAACATGAATATGATACAAACGGTGTACATGAAATACAGACTATTTAAGATTTCACAAAGAGTGGTTTATGTTTGCTTAGCCAAGCACAGATATCTGGCATTGAATGGGGAAAATAACTCCAAATAATGCAGGAAGATGTTCTTTAACATATTTCTTCTTAGACAACATAACAAATGAGAAAAATATTATTTACGCATGAAAAAGTAGCTGTTACTGTAAAAATATTCTGATATCCAAAACAAGACAAATGATGTTGTCACAGGAGAGAACCATAGAAGAAAGATTTAGACTCCCATTTATGTTTTCCCCGTTACGGGCATTATTACATCTGTCATATAATAACACCATTAATAGCTGAAAGTAAAAAGAGTGACAAAAATGCTTTGTTTTCAGAGAGACTTTTATACCACTAAGAAATACACAAAACTATATATACATATATACACATGTCCCATGCGAAAAACAATATATCATATATATCTACACAGCAAAGCAGAGTGTAAGGAGAAACAAAAAGGAAGGGTTTTACATATAATATGGAAATCTTTTTGTGTCTGGATAAGCTATGTTTAGGACTCCAGATTCAAATGGGCTGGATTCATCTACTATATCCCAGGCAAGAACATATTCTATGAACAGAAAACAGCGAGTCTTGGGTTTTCCCAAATCGAGGACTGTGAATTGGACTTTCTTTCTATATCTGGGAAAGATATGGCACCATGAACTTGTATGTTGCTGAGAAGGTAGATTTAGCCTCTGCTTGGGCTGTGGGGGGGGGACTAAAGAAAGCAACATCTCAGTTTGGCTACTGTAAACTGACTGAAATTGACTTCTACTTTGTCGCTGTATGGGTTAAGTGGTGATCATGTAACCTACATGACTTGTTTATGCCAAAGGGAGATAATCGTCTTCTGTATCCCTACAATGTAGATTGACATGCTACTGAGGATACAACATTAGTACTTCTATAGTGGCTGGGGGTTAGGGATTAAAATGAACAGTTGATTTACCCATACCAAAAAGATTAATGTAGGATGATAATGATGAGGAAACACATGGGTAATTTAACAAAACATAATATAATTGGCAAGTAATTTTACATTGGCAAGAACTTGAACATTGGATGTGGTGAACAGTAATGAAACTTTTCCTTCAGACACTCTTCTCTTATTAATTTAATTTTTCTCCTCATTTTATATCAAAAAGATTTCACACAGGCTCACTATTTTATTTCTTCTTGGCTAAATGGCTAATTTATGTGAAGACTAGATTTTCATTGATCCAGAAACAATTTCACATAGGCTTGCAAATTATTTCTGTCTTTTCAGCTCAATGGTCAATCTCTGTGATGGCAAGGTTTTCATTGGCCCAAAGAAAATTTCACATAGGCTCACAAATTTCTTTCTGTCTTTTTCCTCAGCTCACCTAAATTTGAAGTGATTGGGTAAAGGGAGTTATTATTATTTTGTACTCACTACACCTCTTCCACTGGATGCTAATATTGAAAGTGTTATCAGATGCAATTCTAGAGCCAGCATAAACTTGGTCATGGGAAGAGCATGTTCATGGCAAAACTGAGCCTCTCCAGGAACTGAAGTCACTTAAATTCAAATGATAAGAATTTTGGGAATGAACATATCTGTCTTTTTTGCTTACCCCAGTTAGGGTAGTTGCTTTGCTGAGCTACTTGAGAGCTCTGTAAGAATTTATTGCAACAGCTTTGAGTTTATTTCTTCAACTGCATCATTTTTTATAACAAAAACTACATCAGCCACAGAAACACTGGTAGTGTCTAAATTTTTGGCAATATTTTTACATTTTAAACAGCTTAAAAAAATTAAGTTTGAAAATTTTAGAATTTTATCTGAAAACATTTTCCAGATGAATTTGTTTCTTTTGAAAATTCTCAACCTGTTCATCACAATTCTTAAACAACTACATCCATTGCAAAGTAGCATTTCATCCTACAAACTGGTTACCAAAAGCAACCTAGTCTATTTAAAATCTTTTAGTACTATTCACTAGTCTCACTCTACAGCTCCAACTCTTACTGCTTCTATGAAAACCATCACTATTTACAAACTACATATAAATACTCTCTTTATGCAAATATTTATTTTTATATTTTATATATATTTATGACAAATGTTAAAATCTTCCATATCTATAATACTGAAAAAGTGAGTTATCTTTTGGCAAATAAAAAAATAAAAATATCAGGAAACATGCTATCTTCTGGATGGTCTCTTTCAAATATAATTATACTTTGCTTCTTTTTTTTTACAAAAATCTAGTGTTTGTGAAAAAATCTTAAAAATGTATGTAAATTAAGATTTAGTAAAATGAATAATTAGACAGATTCAAATTATAGCGGACATATTATTAGATATTACATATCATTGTGATAATATCCTGGCTACCAGGCCTCCAATTTTTATCACCTCTGCACATCATCACAATGTATATCATCATGTACATATAATATCTTTTTCCATTGTTAATTTATGACTTATTTCTTTATAAGCTTTGGAACAATTACTCCACCTGTTTCTTCTTATTCATTCAGCAATCTTGCTTAATATTGGATCCTGTAGAGTTTCCAATAACAATCTTTGTAGAGATTATATGTCAGTTTTAACCCAATGTAATATTTCTTCACCTGGGATTTCCATCTTTTCTTTTTGATCTTTATTAAATCTTGACAGCTAATGGACATGTGGTATTGTATTTCTTTTTATGCCAGAATCATAAAGCATTAATTTTATAGTACTCTTAGAATCCTGGAAGAAGTAAATTTTGGAGCTCCTTTCTAGGGTTAAAAATAAACTCTAGAGGTTATGGTCTGACTTTAATAAGAACTTTTTTCCTAATAAAAATTGTTGAGCTCTGTCTTTTTTTCAATATTTGAATAATTTATTTTTCTGTCAATATTCTTCAAAGGTACATCATTGGATGGCCTTCTTGTGATAAAATTGCTGACACAGCTCACACACTTGCATCTATAGTTAATGTAACATTCTTGCTGGGATCAAAGAATTTTATAATAGATTTTTCTGCAAGTATTTCTTTTAAATCCTTGAACGCTAAGCTTTGCCTTTGAGCCCATTTGATCTCATGACTTTTTTACTGCAGTTCAGCAAATGATTCTAAGTTGTTGTATTTGGTAGGTATTTATTATAAAAATTAACCAATCCTAAAAAGGATTTTAATTCTTTTTTATTAGTAGATATTGATACCTCTGAAATTTTCTTAATTAACTTTGGATCTGGTGCAATGCTATCTTTTTAAATTCGTTACCCTAAATATGATATTGTATCACAATCAAATTCACATTAACTT